TATCTGTCACTATCTATCTGTCACTATCTATCTGTCACTATCTATCTATCTAGCTATCTATCTATGTTAGTCAATCAATCAATCAATCAATCAATCAATCTACTTTTCTAGCTATCAATCAATCTATCTGTCTATCTATGAATCAATCTATCTATCTATTTATTTGTATTAGCCAGTCAACCAATCAACCTATCAACCTATCTATCTATCTATCTATCTATCGACCCATTGACGCGGTTCGCAGCATTTGCGGGGACTTTGTCGGGTCAATAAGCACATGAAAATATAGCACATGAAAATATATAGGTCATTAGCAATCTTGAAAAGTACAAATCTGAAAGACTTCCAATCTGTACGTATATGCATATAATGTCCCTGCACAAGAACCAATAAATGAGCCAATTTCAGGCCAAGCATCAAACCGTCAACGAGAAGCAAGCTCAGCTGCAGACACAGGTGCACATGGGGTCCTGATGGGGATGTGACACAAGAGCCAGACAGAGAGCTTGGTTTGAAGGTAGCAGCTGCAGAAGAGGCGGGCCAAGTTTGTGAGAATGTGACTCTCCAGCAAGTTGCGTGTGAGCGACCGCGAGGCCTTGAGGCGGGAAAAGGAAGCAGCACTTGAATTGCAAACTGAGGCGTGTTCGAGCAGATTTGTCATTGTGAAGATACCGTCACAATCCCTCACACACAACTTAAGCTCAATGCATGTCAGGTCAATCTCCACTATTTATCCCAACTGCAGAAGACCACCATTATGAATTGTGATGAATCATTCCTATAGGAAGTCTTGAGCCCAATCGCATGAACCCTTTCTCTGCAGAAATCGGCCCTATGTCGTGTCGTGATGGTGGGAAATCTACTACATAAGTTACACAAACACATGGTGCTATACATGGCGCAACCTTTAACTGAGCTACAAAAGAGTTCCCATGCCTACATTTGAGACAGCATCAGCTAGAGGTGTCTCTGGAGCGATGGGAGCTGCAGCAAAATGTCGGGTGGCTTAGAGAAATGCATGACTTTGTGGCTGAGGAAATCGAAACAGACACGCAAAAATTGAGGGTAAGGACACCTTACCTTCCTTGTTTTTTTCCCTAATTTTATCTTTTGCTTAGCTTCACTCTTCGATCCGAGGCCAAGAACCTTTCGGCCCTTTGGCCAGAGGTGGAGGAAATCAGTGCAGCAGTTCGCTCGACACATGCAAAGGTTCTGCAGCAGAGGCCACCCAACCGCAGCTGTGTTTGTCTTCGAAGCCTACCGGCGAAAATGTTTCAGCTTACTGCTGCAGGGAAGAGGCAGAAGAGCACTCACGAGACGAGAAGCAACGCTTGGAGATTGCCAGCAGACTCTATGAGGTCGCCTGTGTTGCAAGCTGACAATCAAAGTCAATTAAGGCAATCGACTTATATATCTTTTTGTTTTTGGCGCTTCCTATTTGCTTCTGCGCGTTTCTGTTTCCTTGTGCTTCCCAACTTACTTCGTCAGACCAGAACACATAACATCGCAAACCGGCTGACCTCAGTTCTATGCAGTGGTCTCTGGCATCCGCTGGGACATGGAGACTGAAAAGATGGAGGGGTGAGACTGACTAGATCAAGTGTAGCAAGTTCACAAGAGGATTTTTTCAATAATTGTCAACTTGCTTTTGTGTTTCTTTGCAATTTGCAGTTTCTTGCAGGTACATTGCAATCGGGGAGAAAGCGCGTGCGTTCAAGGTGCCAGATTGTTCCAAGTGTCATTTCATTCAGTGCAATACATGTGCAGGTAGAGACACCTCGGAGCGCCCAATCAGCGGATGCACTTTGGGCTTTGATTGAGGCCAGTTACCACAACAGTTTGCATCAACCAAATCTGTGAGCATGCAACGCAGCTTCCCCTTGCTCTGCCATAGGGCCTGAGGTTCATGGCAGAGGCATCCAATGAAGTTTTTCCGAACCAACTCTCCTTCTTATCGCCTGGGGAGATGTAGGACCTAGGAGGAACCCGAGACAAAAGATAATCACTTCCAATGACGGTTGAAACGCAGAGCTGTTGCTCATACTAAACTGCTTTTGGAGGCTTGCAGCGACTATTGAGCCCAACTGAGACCAGATGCAAAGTCAACACAGTGACCGTCAACATGCCCTCAAGCCAAAGTACAACGTACGAACAACTAGCATGCAAAGTATTTGAAGAGACTAGCGGTTGAGATTCGTTGATTTTCGCAGGCTTTCTAAGTCTCTCTAATTGGCATTCGTTGCCCCTGTGCAGATCTCTGACTTTTTATGCTGTAATTGCTAAATTTGCATGATGAAGGATAATGACTATGCAAATCCGTCCGTGCGCTCCGTGAAAAGCCCAGCCTTGTATGTCCCGAGTGTTTGATTGGAAAAGTCTTGAATGCAAATCTCATTTGCAATTGCCTGGCAACCGTTGCAGCATCGGCATCGCAATGGCAATTCTTTTTGCTTTAGCTGATAGCAGCTGTAGTATGCTGTTGTGCACTCCAACTCAGCAGACGACTCTGCGACGACTCGATGCCTCTGGTGCCTGCATCCAAATCTGGGCCTACGGAAGGTGTGGACTTATTTCTTCAGTATTCTTCTCATATGAGCCACTCATGTAAGCCGCAATCTTCAAAGCACACAATAAAAGCTGCTTGCCTTGTTCCAGGTGGTGCACAGACTCGTTTGTGCTACCCTGAGGTCTGTGTCCACGCGAGACAAACATGGCCCATTTAAAGAGGGCTTGAGCACAAACAGGCCCTAGCCTGACCTTCCTCTTTTCATCAAAACACACATATAATATTAACATGTAGATACAACGAACATTCATATATATATATATATAATACATGTATAGTGTCCACCTCTAAACAGGGGGACCCCCCGGAACCCTCATTAGTCCTAACCCCAGATTCCCTGATTCCTGGAACTGAGATGAAATGGGAATTAGTATTGTGAAAAAGCTCCTGGAATCTGCTGCTGAATCAATAAAACACGCACAATAAAGATATGCACATTCCAATGTCAACTAATCAAACATGAATGGACTACTAACCATAACATCCCAATATATCCCAATGAGACAGCAATGAACAATTCATCATGTGCGCCAGAAATCCGCTGCTGAATCAGCAAAGCACACAATACAGATACTGTAAGCAAAAGGAACACATTGGAGGGAATGTTTAGCTTTATTATGCTATATATATATCACATAATTGTATATACAGTATATCACATAATTATATCTTTATTTTGGGTCAGCTTATGAATCACCCGGCGGATTTGCTTAGCTTTTTTGGTGGTGTGTTATTAATCCTAGGTGAACATTATATATTATACTATATAGATGCCTATTAGCATGTTTGTTTGCCGAGTGCAAGTGATTTGGAAGGTGGCCAGGCAAATTCGATGTGTATAGTCTATGTGCTGCCTTGCAGTCAAGACAAACTGTGAGGTACTGTGAGCCTATGCTTAAAGGGATCTACAAAGGTTTGCTTACGTATGTGAGGTGTCCCCTGACTAAATTGGTTCTATATATATAATATGATACTCTTTTGGTACTTGTACGTTGTAGTCTGTCACTAAAGACCTGAAACGACAAGCAAGTGTTCTGAGGCCACCAAGGATGGACGATTGGACGAAGCTGGATTACTACCGCTTTTGCCTGTTTCAGCGGCAGGTCCAGGCAGCATGCAGTATCTAAGTCATTCTGAGTCCACATTTGATGATTCGGCAGCTTGCCTACAGGAGGAGTTTCAGCGAGAGAATGAGCAACTGAGAAGCCGCCAGGCACTTAATACGCAGAGATTACAATTTCTGTCTGAATCAACAGGGGCATGCACACTTAGGATCTGTCTTCAGACCAAACATGCTTAAGAGATGGGATCTACTTGAACTCCAGAGCCTGGACGACCCAATTGTTCTTTTGAGGCCTGAACCTCCAAGGCTTTCCAGCAAGACCTCAAGCAGAGGCAAATCTTATGAGAAAAACATATTGAGATTGCTTCGGCAGTGTGCGTGACACAGCCTAGTTACCGAAATCTACCTTATGCGCATGCTCTAGTGCCTGCATAATCATGCATGCGTATGAAAACAATTTGTGTGAATGCACTCAAGCATACATCAGAAAATAGATGCATTTCTATACTCCGATGCAGGTGCGTTTGTCAATTATACTGAGAGACCCAGTAGCCGCTTCCAGGTGCAAGTCCGTCAGCCACTCTATCCTGCGCAGGCCGCGCTTTTCTATCGCAACCTGACAAGCAGTTACCACCATGTTTGCAAAACAGACACGGTGAGACAGGCACAGATTGTTTTGGCAAAGCCACCAGGAGATGGTGGTTGCGGCATCCTTGGGGCCTTCCCTCGAAGACAAGGCATACATACTGTTACATTGGTTGCCTTCACTACTAGTAACAAGAAACTACTAGTAGCAAAGGGCATCGCTACTGCTACTAGTAGCTCCTAGCCTTACTACTAGTAACAAGATTTGCAGGATTTCAAGTTTGATGTTGTTTGATTGGTCGACTGGATCCAGGCAGCCGATGCATTGTCAAAATCTGCCGAGACGGAAAAGTGCTACCCCCAACAACTGCTGCACTCAGATTCCACGGGCCACGCACCTGTTATATCTATGGTAGCTTTGCGCTCTAAATTGTCTACAGTCACTCTCTCCTGCCAGTTTTTGGGATCAAATTGTATTGTAGGAGTGGAAGGGAAGCCCAGTGCCGCTCCGGATGTATGTGCAGTACAGCGGGCAGCTACCATACTATGCGCAGCCAGCGCAGTACCAACAGCCTGCATATGCAGGTGTAAGTGCTGGTGTGCAGCAGCCGGTGGTGCAGATGCCCCAGCAATACCCTGCAACGTATTCAGGCTACGCCGGTGGCGCATATGTTGGACAGCCACAGGCAAGTCCTTCGCCTTATGGGCAATTTGCACAGTATGGTCAGCTGCAGGTCCAACCACAATATGCTCAGTTGCAATACCAGCCGCAGCTGCAGCCAAGTGTGCAGCCACATGCGATACCGCAGACTGTGATGCCAGAGGGAGGCTTTGGACAGGCCAGCTTTGCATTGTTTTGTCATGTCTTGTCTGCTCTGAAGCCAAAAGAGAGCCCAAGGCTTGGGCTCAAGGTGGGCACACAATGCAGCAAGATGTTTCCATATGTTTCCTTTTGATGAATTGAAGGTGATGCAGCCGATCGGCCAGCCTGCATACATCCCTGCTGGATATGCGAAGCCTGGAGAATTGCAACCTGCTTCAGTGTCTCGTATGCATCACAGTGATCATGAAAACAGATTCAAACAACATGGCGCCTTCTTCTCGCAGTCAGCATGTTGTCGTGCTAGACTTTCTGTCGTGGAAACAGTTCCATAACACTTTTGGCCATGTACTTCTTCGCAGGTGCAAATGCCTGGAGCGCAAAGAGTGGGTACCAACCTTACACAAGTAACTGGTCCTGAAGGTGAAGAAGATGATGACCCTAACCGCCTTCCGACTTTTGTCAAGGTGTGGTTTTCAGCTTGTGCTGAAACAGCTTGTACTGAAACTGCAAGTTCGAAGCTACATATCGATTATTTGACAATTCAGGAAAATGCAAGACTGAGTCTCATCTGTATAACATTGCCAGCCAAATAACCATATGCTGATTGAAAGGTCAGCCACCAATTTTTCCATTTCGTACGCTTCATGTTTTCAGTTGGCACAGTGACAACACAACACCTCTGGTTCTGCCATCAATTTAAATACTGTAGATGATCCTATGTTCTTTGTGGGATTGGGGATGGTTTTGAGTGCTTCACTTGCATCGCTTTTCAGGTGCGTGGCCTTCCAGCAGAGCATGATCCACGCATTGCTCGTCGACCCAGGCCGAAGAAGAGAGCTCCTGGCATTTGCTGCGCATAGGCGAGGTTTCGAGGTTGAAGCTGAGAACGAAGAGGAACGATGCTTTCCTCTTTTGTAAGGGAGGTATTCGTGTAATACGAGATATGTAGTAGATATAGTAATAGTAACACATGATAGTACAGTACATGATACTGGAGGGTAAGTAAGCCAAGTAAGTAGCATGAAAGCTTTCTTTTAGGCGAAAGTGACGCAGATTTACTCGGGTTCTTTGAGGAATCTCAGGGGGAGGAGCTCCTTGAAGCAACCTTTGATTCCAAGCCCCTACTAGGGATGGCCTCCGCCTCCACCCTAGTAGCGAAGGCCTCCAACCTAGGAGCGATTTAGGTTCTTCATGTTTCTCTTCATGTTGCTTCAGCTTTCATAGAGTTTCTGACTCTTTGGGTTTAATCTTGCTTGACCTTCCGACCGTTGGCTTTGGCAGATGTTCCCTGTCAGGTGCTCTTGTTCATTTCCTTGAGTGACCTGGGGACTAACATCCACAGGATGATTCGATATTGGAGTGACAATGTTTCACCCATTCCCGACTGCCCTTTGTTATGTACGATGTTTAAAAGTGAGTTTTTTTTGCTCCAACTCTATTGATGTCGAACTTGCAGATCAGGACAGTCGGGTCTAATCAATTGATCTGAGTTAGGGAAGCTCGTGGGATGCTGGGATAGGTGCGGCCGCCTTTCCTTCCTTACACAAGGCAATAATATATGGCAAAGCACCCTTGGTTGTGAATCAGATGGAGGTGGTTCGTGCACCTATACGTATATGTTCGATGTTGGGATGCGATTGGCACAGGTGGTATCTTGGCAAAAATGAATGCACCCGTTCGAAATGTATGGGAGTTTGCAGCGCTAGACGCTCTCCCAGAAAGAATAGTTATGCCAACCGTCTATTATATAAATGTCAACGATTGCAGGTGCAAGGCAGCCTATGAAGCCGCACTTCGTGCTGAGGAGGGCCAACTGCATCTGAACTTAGTCGCAGAATTTTGGAAGATTATGAGCAATGCTGGAACTTGACCATCCTTATCCACAGGAGATTGCCTTTGAAGAAGCTGAAGCTGCACGGTACCCAGATCTGATCCATTTTTGAAGTGAAAAAAAGCCACAAGCCGCAAAGGGCAATGAGAACTCGTCGCCTCGGTCTTCAATGGTCTTCATGTTTGTTCACTCAGGCATGGGCCGCAGAGGACGGAAAAACTCGCCGGTGTGGGCGTGTGGTGCCACAATTGTTTCAGTCTATGTCATTGTAACTTTTTTTCCCGAATGACATGAGCGGCGAAGGGTTGATGGAAGCATGAAGTGTCAGATTCGTGTGAAATAGCGTGGTCATGTAACATGTTGAATTGTGGAGGATGATTTTGCTGCGCAGGTGCAGCGTTTTGTGAAATCTGTTGAAGTCCTACGTTGCCTTCGCTGTGACAGTGGGATTGGCGTTCGGAGGGTGGTGTGTTGAAGGTGTCGGTGTTGCCCCGAAGCTGTGTCTTCGTGACAAGTCTCAGCTAAAATTGCGATGTTGGTGGATGTGTGTGTGTGTGTGTAAAACTCTGCCTCTAAGAGTTGGCTACACTCATCCGTGTACAGTTTCCGCAGGGGGGCACAGCAGTTCACTGGAACTGTTTCCGACGGAGCTACCAGTGAAGTTGGATATCCGGCTTGACCAGCTGGATGTACCTGCGTCAATTTTTAAGCTTTGGTAAAGTGCTAGTGAAGAACCTAAGTAGAGCTTGGAGGCCAGGGCTGCTTGATGTGCCGCAGCACTACTGAAAAGTATTCGTACGAAGCGCTTGTTTTGGAGACTTTTTGGCGCGTGACTTTTGAAGGAAATCTCGTATGAAGGGGAGGTTTTGGAGACTTGACGCGTGAGGTTTGGAGGAGGCAAACAAGAGTGTCCAACAAGAGTGTCCCACAAGAGTGTCCCTACAACAGTCCTCTACAAGAGTGTCCCACAAGAAATTTGCACGCGAATTTCCCACAAGAGTTTTCCACAAGAGGTGTCCTAGGGGGTGCCTCACAAGAGTGCCTTGCAGGAGTGTCCCACAAGAGTGTTGCACGAGAGTGTCCCACAATAGTTTCCCACAGAAGTGCTCTACAAGAGTGTCCAGTGTCTTACAAGAGTGTCCTGCAACAGTGTCCCACAAGAGTGTCCCACGAGAGTGTCCCCTACAACAGTGTACCGCAAAAGTGCCCATCAAGAGTGTCCCACAAGTCTGAGTGTCTCCTACAAGAGTGGCCCGCAATGTCCCACACAAAGTGTCCCACAAGGGTGTCTCTACAAGAGTGTCCGACAAGGGTGTCCCACAGTGTCGCACGAGAGTGTCTCCTACAGAAGGGTGTCACAAGAGTGTGCCACAAGAGTGTCAAACAATGTTTGGCCGTTGGTTCTCGGGTGCGTGTGTGCATTCGAGTTCGTGCGTTCCATCTTATGTTGCCAGAAGCGCGCTTGTCCTCTCAATCTTCGCAGCAAGTCTAGGAGGAGCGCGAGAATGCAGATGCCCTTCATTCAGAGCTGGCTGCTTGGCCCAAAAACTGTGCAGGGGCGATGCTGTTTTCTGACCCTATGTGATGATTCCAATTGCCGTGTTGACTCTGAGCTCTGAGCCAACCCCTCACCGCACATGCTTGGTTTCGTTTTCGAGGTGACATCGATCAACAAACGCAGGCCAGGCTGCTTCATGATTACTGGGCCATCTCTCCTGAGTCTCTGCTGACCGACCTTAAGCAAACTGAGACTGTCCCCCAGGTTACTTGAAACACCAATTTTGGTCCATTGGCGCTGAGGCGGGGAGGTGGCTGACCTGATGATGTCGAACTCGAACTCAAATCTGCCAGCGCGATCTTGACCCACCTTCACGGCAGCCAAAATCTGTGGTGCCGCGGTGGCTGAAGCTATTTGGCCAGTACAAATCTGCCATTTGCAGGGTGTGTATTTAGTGTCCTTTGCTAAGTCTGCCAAATACAGGTAATGTCATGGACCCTGGATTTGTTCCAGGTGTCAAGGGGTTTGGATGCCGAATGCTTTGATGCAAGCATCCTTGCATACCTTGGGATTAAGGCTTGTGCAGAGCAATGACGGGCAATAAGCTTACGAACGCCATAGGGAACAATCACCATACTCTTACTTCTTGAGCTGTTCTGGAGTTCTGGATATATATAATATATATAACATAATATAATATATATAATTATATATATGTTCTGCCGACCCGTCAAGAGATTAAGCACCACGACCACAAGGTGTGAATTCAGAATGAAGATCCCTCGCAGTTTAATGCCTTGAGTGGCACTCGTGGAGGAACGAGCCGAATTCGGAAGGCTGATGTGGTTGCCAACAGAGGGCAAAAACGAAGAATGAATGTTGCAAGTGCGTTGAATTTGTTTGGCTTTGCAGCTTGTCTTTTGCATGGAAGGGTGGGATTGCCTCAGTTGTAGTTCTGATACATTTTGAAGAGGATGCAGAAGAATTCGACTGCTACATTTTGCATGCAAATTGCTGGAATTTATAGCATCTGCAGCCTGCAGCTTGGTTACCAGCAAGAAAATCAAGAAGAGGAGAAGACATGACATATTGTGGCAATATATATATATTATATACGATATAATATAACATTCCTAGCTCTTTTTGAGATTATGTTTGTGCATGGAGAAACTTCGCTTTCAACAGTCTTCTGGAACTCAGAGTTGGATGCTCCATACACTCCCATTCTGCTGAATGTATATCTGTTTGTCTGTCTGTGGAATCTATTGAACCTACCGAAGGTGCCCAGATCAACCTATCATAGGTTCTTTTTACTTGCAGCTAGCACCCACCTTACCCCGCCTACAGAGTGCCTGCCATCCAGCACCAGCAGAACACTTTGTGTGTTGGCCATGGGAGATGCAGCACCTGATGAAAGGACCGTTTGATATTTTCAACGGGTTGAGATACGGATCAGGGCTGGTGGGGCCTAACGCTATTGTGATCTCGCTGTATGCAGAACTCAATTCAGAGGATTGATTCACTGTGATGTCTCTCATATTTGTTGCTTCAAATGTGTTCACAGTCACCAAACAGCAATCATGGCATGTTATGCTCAGGAAAGATGGTGGCCCTACAGATGCGATGTCTGAGGTGGTGTAGGGTTGTCCTTCTTTGTGCAGACTTATCGTAGGTCCGTTGGTCTTCAACTCTACAACCATTCATAACTTAAGAGCAAACTACAGTAGTCCAGGAGAGAAGACCATCATGCAGGATATTTATTTTTGAACAGCTGTGGGCCTTCGGGGCAAAACTACGAAGTGGCCAGATGATTTGGTCTACCTTCCGTCCTGGGGCCACGTTGGGTTTGCACAAAAAAGAGCTGAGCCGGCCATAAGATTGATTCGTGAGCATGAAGTATTGGAGGCAGCTGCCTCCGCACTTCAAACCTTCCGGGCTGCAGCTGGTATCTCAGGAGTGTCTCCAGCTTGACTTTTTGCCGCACCATTCGCACTCGCTGCAATGCCTTGCTCAAGGTGGCAGAGGTTCAGCGACTTAGCGCAGCTGCTGAGCAGGAAGGTTGACCCGATACAAATATAGAAAGCAGATGAAACCACACGTCGCCAATTGAATACTAAGGTGATTTGTGCAAAGCATAATGGACATAATGGACACTTTTTGGCGCTCCTGCTAGGGGGGCCTGATCATAAAGAGATGCCCTTCAGTTTGCCTTTAAGTTATGTCAGGCGAGTGGGTGGCTTTGCAGCCATTTGCTTTGCCAGCTTGTGTCAGGCGGCCCTCAAAAGCCCATGGCGCAGACATCTAGACAAAGCACCGGCAGCACTCCGAACACAATGGCACCCTCTGCTGTCTTTGGAGTGCGAGTTCAACATCAGCACTTTCCGTGTCCGCGGGGAAGCTTCACCATCGGTGTCAATGGTGTCAATAGTGTGAACCGCTACAGCTCGCTTCATAGCACAGCAGCGCCAGCACAGCATGCTGCTCCATCATCTCCTATGGTAAGGACTTCGCAAAGCATGTCCGGCAGCCTATCAGTTCCATTAGGCAATCGATCGGAGGGATCTACATTTGCATCTTCCAGAACCCACGAGCCCAAAGAAGCATTACAATCTTTGATATTGGGCAACAAGCGCTTTCAACAAGGAACCCGTTCCTGTCATTTCGGAGCACGCAGTCCATTTGCAACTATAGTTGCATGCACTGACGGCCCAGGCCCTATTGAACCCATTTTTGATGCTCCACCTGGATCCCTTTTTGTGTCAAAAGTTCACGGATGCCTTGCAAGCTCAGAAGGCTGGGATGTTTCTGAATTGTTGGGCAGTAAAATAATTGTTTGGTGATTGATATTTGTACAGTGTTGTACAGATGTGATAGATGATGACAGATGTGATGTTTCTTCATGTTTCTTCTAAGGCATCCCTAAACAATTCCAGCGATTCAATTTACACTGTACCGTCCTGGACTCACATGATTGCAGGCTTGGTGGAAAAGCTTGAGCTCAGCATCAGACTGGGAAGTAGCCTGATACTTGTTCTGGGGCACAGAGAGTCTCAAGTGATGCTTGATGCGGCGCAAAA